ATACACATTCGACATTTTCTACCATGTAGTTGAGCTTTTCACCTACACCTTCAGAAACTCACCTCTGGTTTACTGTTTCCCCTCTGAAATCCTTTAACTTCCTCATCTCTCTATTCTACCCTCTCCCCACCATCTTTTCCCTGTCCCTAATATGTTCTTTCACTTTATTTCTTTTCATTTTCTCCTCCTTCCAGCCATTGCCAGGTGTTCTTGAAAGCCCCCAAATCTGGAGTCTTCCCTTCCCTATAGATAGATATTCAGTAACATGCTTTCCCCACTGTCTTCTTGTGGTTCTAATTTGTTTTTTCACTCTCATTCTGCTGTCTTGATTCTGCTTGAAAAGAACGATAGACTCTCTATTCTGGGAACCTTTTACTAGTTTAAAGCAGTTTGTAAATTATTGACTGAGTAGGTTTTCCTACGACTTTCCAAGTTGACTGTCACCTCTTCCTACTTTATGTTTGAAAATCTCAGCAGGTGTAAATCTGTTGAGGAGGCTGTGCTGTTTTTCAGGACTTATTGTGATGGTGAATCTTATTAAACCCAACATCTAGGTTTTCCCTGTTCTTAAGCGGCACAGAAATTCAAAAGTGCTACTTACCATCATGGTTTTAAAAAGAAAAGGAAGACAGTGGTGACCTTTGTTATGGAGTTCTATTGTTCTTTGAGGTTATTGATATTTTAGCCAGGATGTCTATTAAATGACATTCCCAGTTATAGAAAGTTTGGTTAAATATGACTAATTTAAATAGGCAGTCAGGAAGCCTTTCACTCTCCCTCACCTCCCTACATGCTGAGTAGCCTGTACTCAATGCTACTGCCTTGTCCGGAACAGCAGCTGCACATCTGGCTCACCCTCTGCTTCTTGACCACTTTTTAATATTCTTGGTTTCTGACCTCCTGCTCCTTTATTTTTACATCTTGGTCTTGTTCTTTGTCCTAACACTCAATGCTGTTCCTCTGGCACTGACATTGGGCGCATTCCTAGGCTCTGGTTTGTGTTTGCCTCATGGGCTCTGGCTGACAGCTCATCTCACCAGCCTGGCACCTCGGGTGTTATTCCAGTTCGGCTCCATGTGGCAGGAAGTGCCTCCAGATTTTTCCTGGCACCTAAGGAGGAAACGTGGACAGACGCCATGTAATCTCCTCACCGCCCCCACTTCCAGTAGAAAGTAAATTCTTGTTTCATATGACTGCTAATTATTTTTGATATTTCAGAGCCTGATAGCACATTTTACTTTAAGAAGATATGCCCTGTATATTTTGAAATCAGTGATAAGTGTTCCCAGTCTTTGGAATTCATTTATTTTATATCAGAAAACCAAAAGATGTCTTGGTATGTTTAGGCATCTTTCATTCATTTTCAAAGCAGATTTTTTTTTTCCTGGGCAGGACGAATTTTCATGATATTGTTTCATTTAGCAGATTGATTAGAAGAGTGCTTTTCTTTTTTCTGTGCCATTTGAGTTTTACATAACACCTGTCTGACTACTGTTCTTCTCTCTTTAGATTTCAGCTTAGGAGCCACTTCCTTTCTGAGGCTTTTCTGTTAGGTTGGGTTTAGCCTCTCCTGTGTGTTCCTAAACACTCCACATTTGTCCCACCTTAATAGTTGTGGATTGATTTTATAGTTACCTGTTTCCTTGTCTGTCTCCTCCACTAAATTGTAAACTTGCTATCATGGACGTTATTTTGTTTATTGTGGTAAGATGATATAGTGCTTGGCACCCAGTAGGCACTCTCTGGATATTTCATGAATGAATGAATAAATGCAAATTTTGCTAAATAACAACTTTATTCTATTATTCTGAAGGCCTTTTCTTTCTACAGTCCATTTCCTCATTAGATTTCAAATAATAGGAACATAAACTCAGAAATTCACCATGGAAGACTTTGGATGTGGGCTGCTAAAACAAGTTTTTCTTATTATTATTGCTAGACTTTTCATTTGTAGCCCTCTCCTCCTCATGCAAAAGTCATTCAGCTTCTTATAAGAATGCATATTTGAAAAGATGTAAGGACCAGACTCAGTGTACACACACTTATTCACACTCACTAGACACTCGTGACACAACATGATATGAAGGTTAGTCAGATCTCTCTTGTCTTTGAATGCTGTTTTAAAATATTTTATTGCTGGAGACAAAATGATAAAAAAACTGAACACTAAAACTAAGTATGTCTTTGATTTGTGATGTGGGCCCTAGACTCCCTGTGATCTAACCCAGGGCGTGGCGGCTTAATATTTTGACAATGTTTTAACCTTATTAGTTAACGTTAACTAATAAGCCTGTAAGGCTGAGCTAATTATTAAGTGACAGTCAGCAGGTGTCATACCAGAAGGTTTGGATCAATGAGTAATTGTAATTGAAGCTGAAAATTATGTGACTTTTGAGATGTTCAAGTGTAATTCCAGTTAAGTTCCATCTTGAAACTAGAGCACTAGGAAAGATTACTGACAAAAAGGAAAATAGGCATAAAGATGTACTTGACTCATGTTTGAGTTGTGTCCAAATCCCCTGGTCACGACAGAAAAACCTGAATGGCCCTATTGGAGAGAGATCGTGTGTGACTCTGTTAACCTCACCCCACTGTCCTCCTCCCTTTTGCCCACACCCTTCTCTCTCCCCACGCGCTTTGGTCCACAGTTCCCCTCAAGCGCCTTGCTACTTGAGGTTTCCGTGCAACAGCACATCCTGTTCTCTCTATTTGGGATTCCCTTGTTCCTTCTCAGTCCAACTAACTCTGTCTTGTGTTTTAGAGCTCACCTGAAGGTCAGTAGCTGCAGGAAGCCTTTTCTTATCCACAGTCTGATATAGATGCTCCCCTCTCCCCATAGCATCTTTATTATGGCACTTTCCACTTTATTCTGTAATCGTGGCATTGCCAGTCCTTTCTGATAGTTTTCTGAAGGGCAGAGATGGTCTTGCAGTGCTTTGTTGAATGAGAGAGTAAACTTTTTTTGATCTTTCTAAATACTCTGTAGAGGTACTGCTAAAAAGCCCACTAAAATTGGGCCTTTTATCAGCTATATGTAGAACTTAAAAAAAAATAGTTTCTAGTATATAATATGTCAAAAAATAAAAATAAGTCATTGTTATTTGTAATTTATAATTTCTTTCTTTTACTATTATTTTTGGTTTTGGTGGCTGGCTGGTAAAAGAGATCAAACCCTGGACCTTGGTGTTATCAACACCGCACTCTAACCAACTGAGCTAACCAGCTAGCCTTATAATTTATAATTTCTATTCCCTGTTTAACTCAAGCTTTAGCAAGTCTTAAAACCACACAGCATTAGGTGGTTTTATGTGGTGGTTAAGAAGCTCTGGAGTCAGGCTATGGATATGAATCCTTTTATCATCACTAGTTGGGAGACTTTAGGTATCTCTAACCTTAGTTTCCCCAGCTCTAAATTTAGAGGATAAAAATAATAGTAATACTTACTTCGTAACGTTGTGGTGGGGACTAAATGAAGTTATACATGCAGGTAAGGCTTCTGCATAGTACCTTCCTGAAAACATCACTGACTTTTCCCACCTGGGTTAATTGTGAACCTATGGAACTCATAGAATTGCAGAGTGGTTTATATTCTCAGAGCAGATGGTAGACTTTGTCAATTCTCCACACTGATCTGGAAGAATTACAAATTAGTGACATTGTGCCGCCTTTTATGACTCTAATGCGGGACCTGCCTGATGTCTCATACAGCATCATGAGCCATTAAATTGGTACCACCCATGAAACATACTTCAGTGTGAATGGCATAGTAAGCTCATCAACAAAGAGGACCTGGAATGTAGTCATCACTGGTGCTGCAGTACTTTTTCTTCCAGTTTCTTCTGGACTGGAGGGAGAAGAGTTGCCTATAGGCTCTCCAAAAGTTTTGGTGTGAATTCCTGGGAACAAGTTTGTAAGCAGTATGGACAAGTAGGAAACTTCAAGGACTTGGTTAAGCTTATGCGTAAATGTCGCTTGTAAGCTATTAGAGAATTACAGAAGTAGGCAGGCCACCCATGTGGGAATTTGGTAGAACAGTGGAGGAGTGGGCCATGTGTGACCTATGTACACCATACACACACACATAAATTCAGTGCTCAGATACGAACTTCAGTGCTGAGGTATGAAAAGGATATTTGCTTTCACTACACCCATGTCAGTCATTCATGACATGACTACCAGCAAGATGAGTTTTAGGTTTTGGAGCCCTCTTGGCTTATTCTGGAATAAGCATCAGCAACCTTTCTTTGTTAAAAAGAAAACCTGTGATGTTCTTAATTACAAGGAGAGTCTGATGTGGTGCCATGTATAGTGTGTAAAAAGTGCCCACCACATGTTTTTGAGTCAGTTAAAATGGATGTTGTAAAATTGGAGGTATGATTATGGTGGCTGAATAATGGTTTGTTTTAAGGTATCAGAATGCTTTTTAATTTTATATGGTGATATTTTCTGGCCTTAAGGAATGAGATATTTTGCATTGGTAAAATATCTGTTAAGCTTCAAATGCCCAAATGCGTTATAATCAGCAGGTGTAATTGAATATAATTTTACTGTAGCTTGATGACCCATGGTCATTTTAAATATCTTTTTTATTTGGGGGAAGGTTTAACTCAATTTAGTTCTTTACGTGTGCTTTTTTTTCATCTTAATGTCAGACTTCCATATGGCACTTCTGCCAATACTGTTCTTATTCAGACAACCTCTCATTGATAATTTGCTGCCAGTAATTTCCTTTAAGTTGAGGAATCAGAAATCAAGTTTGGAAAGATTTCTGTATTCAATAAAGGTAAGATTCTGAGTGAGGGCCCAAGGCGTGTTGGGCCTTTATCACAACTATTTTCTATGTTTGTCACGTTTAGGGATTCTGTTTTAATGGATGGCAAGTTTTTTAAGTTAGTCTCAACTTCCAAAAAGTGGGTTTTCCTGTAATATTTTTTGCATAGAATGTTCAATATGTTTATTATTGGTATCATTAACATTTTTTCTCTCTGCTTTGTAAACAGTCAGAATTTGTTGTGTGATGTCACAATCGTGGCAGAAGACATGGAAATCTCTGCTCACAGAGTGGTGCTGGCCTCCTGTAGTCCTTATTTTCACGCCATGTTTACAGGTATGAAATATTGGAATTATGGGTATTTGAATTATATACAGATCTGAGTTTTTCTTTTCACATTTTCTTTTGTTATTAACATTTTACTTTTATGAAATGAAGAATTGTAGGGCCGGCCCGGTGGCGCACTGGATAGTGCGCCGCTTGGGAAGCACGGCGGCGCTCCCGCCCGAGGGTTCGGATCCCACATACAGACCGGTTCCCGCTCACTGGCTGAGCGAGGCGCGGGAGCAACGCTGAGGGTTGCAATCCCGTCACCGGTCCCCGGTCCGGTGCGGGGGCAACACTGAGGGTTGCGATCCGTTGCCGGACATGGAAAAAAGACAAAAAAAAAAAAAAAAAAAAAAAAAAAAAAAAAAAATTTTAATGGAAAAAAAATTCCTTGCCTTTTTCCAAATTCCCCCCTTTTTTTGGTTTT